ACAGGCTTCTTTGCTGCGATGCAACTTTTGGCATATCCTCCTGGAAAACTGCTTTGTCTTCTGTGAGGCTCCTCTGTAGCTTTTGCGATGCAAGAAGAGGTCGTCATCGACTTCACCGACTCGCGCTGTTGTTCACATACGCCTGGTGAGCATTTTTTAGTAGCTGCCTCTGCCACCAAGGCTGAACTAGGATCCTTCTCAGTAGAGGGCTGATGCTGGCAGGCATCCAAGACAAACATTTTCGCGAAAGCTCCAATACTACTCCAAAACGATGGCGGATTACTCGAAATCGCACCGGAGATGTTACTCTTCTGCTGTATAGGCATTCCAGCAGATCGTTCAGCAGAAGGCTCAACTGCAACGTGGTGATCAGGCTTTTCGGGCTCTAGCTCCGCACCTTCTGACGCATCCTGGAAGTTTCCAGTCGCCTCACTGCTCTCTGCAGCAGATCCGAAAGAGGTAAAGAACGAGGGAGCCGCAGCTACGGGAATCGCGGGAAAACTTGAATTCCCGTCGCCTTGGCTTCTCTGCCGTTCTGCAGCCTCTCCAGCAGCAGGCGGTTCACGAGAATGCGCAATTGAGACCTGGTGATCAGGCTTTTCGGGCTCTAGCTCCGCACCTTCTGACGCATCCTGGAAGTTTCCAGTCGCCTCACTGCTCTCTGCGGAAGATCCGAAAGAGGTAAAGAACGAGGGAGCCGCAGCTACGGGAATCGCGGGAAAACTTGAATTCCCGTCGCCTTGGCTTCTCTGCCGTTCTGCAGCCTCTCCAGCAGCAGACGGTTCACGAGAATGTGCAATTGAGACCTGGTGATCAGGCTTTTCGGGCTCTAGCTCCGCACCTTCTGACGCATCCTGGAAGTTTCCAGTCGCCTCACTGCTCTCTGCAGCAGATCCGAAAGAGGTAAAGAACGAGGGAGCCGCAGCTACGGGAATCGCGGGAAAACTTGAATTCCCGTCGCCTTGGCTTCTCTGCCGTTCTGCAGCCTCTCCAGCAGCAGGCGGTTCACGAGAATGCGCAATTGAGACCTGGTGATCAGGCTTTTCGGGCTCTAGCTCCGCACCTTCTGACGCATCCTGGAAGTTTCCAGTCGCCTCACTGCTCTCTGCAGCAGATCCGAAAGAGGTAAAGAACGAGGGAGCCGCAGCTACGGGAATCGCGGGAAAACTTGAATTCCCGTCGCCTTGGCTTCTCTGCCGTTCTGCAGCCTCTCCAGCAGCAGACGGTTCACGAGAATGTGCAATTGAGACCTGGTGATCAGGCTTTTCGGGCTCTAGCTCCGCACCTTCCGACGCATCCTGGAAGTTTCCAGTCGCCTCACTGCTCTCTGCAGCAGATCCGAAAGAGGTAAAGAACGAGGGAGCCGCAGCTACGGGAATCGCGGGAAAACTTGAATTCCCGTCGCCTTGGCTTCTCTGCCGTTCTGCAGCCTCTCCAGCAGCAGACGGTTCACGAGAATGTGCAATTGAGACCTGGTGATCAGGCTTTTCGGGCTCTAGCTCCGCACCTTCCGACGCATCCTGGAAGTTTCCAGTCGCCTCACTGCTCTCTGCAGCAGATCCGAAAGAGGTAAAGAACGAGGGAGCCGCAGCTACGGGAATCGCGGGAAAACTTGAATTCCCGTCGCCTTGGCTTCTCTGCCGTTCTGCAGCCTCTCCAGCAGCAGGCGGTTCACGAGAATGCGCAATTGAGACCTGGTGATCAGGCTTTTCGGGCTCTAGCTCCGCACCTTCTGACGCATCCTGGAAGTTTCCAGTCGCCTCACTGCTCTCTGCGGAAGATCCGAAAGAGGTAAAGAACGAGGGAGCCGCAGCTACGGGAATCGCGGGAAAACTTGAATTCCCGTCGCCTTGGCTTCTCTGCCGTTCTGCAGCCTCTCCAGCAGCAGACGGTTCACGAGAATGTGCAATTGAGACCTGGTGATCAGGCTTTTCGGGCTCTAGCTCCGCACCTTCTGACGCATCCTGGAAGTTTCCAGTCGCCTCACTGCTCTCTGCAGCAGATCCGAAAGAGGTAAAGAACGAGGGAGCCGCAGCTACGGGAATCGCGGGAAAACTTGAATTCCCGTCGCCTTGGCTTCTCTGCCGTTCTGCAGCCTCTCCAGCAGCAGGCGGTTCACGAGAATGCGCAATTGAGACCTGGTGATCAGGCTTTTCGGGCTCTAGCTCCGCACCTTCTGACGCATCCTGGAAGTTTCCAGTCGCCTCACTGCTCTCTGCAGCAGATCCGAAAGAGGTAAAGAACGAGGGAGCCGCAGCTACGGGAATCGCGGGAAAACTTGAATTCCCGTCGCCTTGGCTTCTCTGCCGTTCTGCAGCCTCTCCAGCAGCAGGCGGTTCACGAGAATGCGCAATTGAGACCTGGTGATCAGGCTTTTCGGGCTCTAGCTCCGCACCTTCTGACGCATCCTGGAAGTTTCCAGTCGCCTCACTGCTCTCTGCGGAAGATCCGAAAGAGGTAAAGAACGAGGGAGCCGCAGCTACGGGAATCGCGGGAAAACTTGAATTCCCGTCGCCTTGGCTTCTCTGCCGTTCTGCAGCCTCTCCAGCAGCAGGCGGTTCACGAGAATGCGCAATTGAGACCTGGTGATCAGGCTTTTCGGGCTCTAGCTCCGCACCTTCTGACGCATCCTGGAAGTTTCCAGTCGCCTCACTGCTCTCTGCAGCAGATCCGAAAGAGGTAAAGAACGAGGGAGCCGCAGCTACGGGAATCGCGGGAAAACTTGAATTCCCGTCGCCTTGGCTTCTCTGCCGTTCTGCAGCCTCTCCAGCAGCAGACGGTTCACGAGAATGTGCAATTGAGACCTGGTGATCAGGCTTTTCGGGCTCTAGCTCCGCACCTTCTGACGCATCCTGGAAGTTTCCAGTCGCCTCACTGCTCTCTGCAGCAGATCCGAAAGAGGTAAAGAACGAGGGAGCCGCAGCTACGGGAATCGCGGGAAAACTTGAATTCCCGTCGCCTTGGCTTCTCTGCCGTTCTGCAGCCTCTCCAGCAGCAGACGGTTCACGAGAATGTGCAATTGAGACCTGGTGATCAGGCTTTTCGGGCTCTAGCTCCGCACCTTCTGACGCATCCTGGAAGTTTCCAGTCGCCTCACTGCTCTCTGCAGCAGATCCGAAAGAGGTAAAGAAAGAGGGAGCCGCAGCTACGGGAATCGCGGGAAAACTTGAATTCCCGTCGCCTTGGCTTCTCTGCCGTTCTGCAGCCTCTCCAGCAGCAGACCGTTCATGAGAATGCGCAATTGAGACCTGGTGATCAGGTCTTTCTAGCGGCAATCGTGGGCTTGTACTGGGTGAGGCGATCTCCTGGCGCCCTATTCCGGTATCGAGTGCGGTGCTCCTGTGAATTTCTGTTGTCACCTCAGATTCAGTTTCGTTTGGTAAACGACCAAGGCAGTGATGCTGCTGTTTTTTGTGTGGCGGTGCCTCCTGTTGAAGTTCGCCGGAGAAGCTGTGGCGCTCCTGGTTGGAGTCTGCAGGTAGACTTGGTTCCCCTACACTGGAGGTTATATTGAGCTGCTGTGTGCCTTCGAGTCCAGTTCCGTCGCCGTTTCCTTTCGCAGTTGTTGTGGATTCATCTTTGCTTTGTGGCTTGGCTGCAGGGCTGTAGCTTATCCGGTGCTGATACAAGTGCTCAAGCAAGGCCGCTATGATCCCCTTTTTTTCCGGTTTCTCTGCCACTTCCCTCTGCTCACGGGGGGCCAGAAAGATCACGCCAGCTGCAAGAGGCAGCTGATCAACAAGTTTATCATGAAAGGCTCGCGCAGAGCCGGTAGGTTGTTCGTGTTCATCTGGCGCTTCCTGCTGCTCTCCGTGTTCTGAATATCCTCCTTCTGCATTTCCTCTGAAAAGAGTTTCTTGCGAGATTTCAGCTGGGACGGAAACCCTACAGAAACCCGATTTAGCTGGCGGCGTTGCCTCTCGTGCAGAAGACGCTGTGCAGCTCTGGTGGCTGCAGGACAGCGTCTTTGGCTTATTTGTTTCAGAAGTCGCCACTTTTTCCTCAAAATGCATTTTCGCGCTTTCTGGCTGCCCATCGCTGCGCCTAAGATCCGGCTCTATCTGCGCGGAGCTGCTTCCTTCCTTAACAATGCAAGTCTGCTGCTGCTGCGGCTCCTCTTCTGCTTCCTCCTCTGGCTGACTTGGTGGCGCTTCAGGTGGCTCACACTGGCCTCTGGGAAAAAGAGGCTCTTCATGCTGTCTGCTGGGGCTGGCTTCCCCGCTGTCTTCTCTGGATTTGCTG